GGGGCCGCACAGGCTGTACACAAACTCCCCCGCTCGGTGGTCTTTTGTGGGCTCGTCACGGCAGAGTAGAAAGGGGTTCTCTGTCAACGCAGCGCGCACCGCGTCGCTCTCCATGTCGATGGCGGTGGGCAGGTTGCTGGGCAGGTGGAACGGCGAGCAGTGGAGTGCATACGCCAGTACGATGTCGTCATCGCCGTCATTAGTGGTGGTTGCACTGCTGGTGGTGAGGTTTAATATGTTTGGGTCGGTCACCTGGTACACCCACATGTCCTGCGTACGTGTGTATGCATGTATGTGTGTTGGGGTGAAGGTGAGGGAAGCAGCAGCTCGAGTTGACGCGCACGCAGCAGCGGTGCACAACGGTGCATTGATGGACAGGCCGAAGGGCCCAACCAACACAACACAAAACACAAAACACAACACACAACACACACCACACACACACACACACACACACACACAGTACACACACACACACACACACACACACACACACACACACACACACACACACACACACACACACACACACACACACACACACACACACACACACGCACACCTGGAAATCGATAATGTAGTATGTCCAGGTGAAGATGCCGGGTGTGCTGGTTGTGTGTTGAATCTTGAAGCGAAAAAAGCGAGCATCCTTCCATGCATCGCGATTGTAGAATGCAACGTGACGGCTGATGACTGGGTGGTGCCGAAGTGACGCCGCAGCCTCCTTGCTCATCTGCCAGCTGTCTTTGTATGTGCCCAGCTGCCCAAAGGGAGGTGTCGTTGCGACTCGGTCCACCATTGTCAGCGGTGGCGTGCCATGGCGCTTGCAATACGCGCTGAACGCGCTATCGATGAGCGGAATGGCTTCAGGTGCAAAGGGGATGAGGTGGTGCACAACCGCATTTACGTTGTTGGGCGCCGTTTTCAGTGGCACCCGCGTTCGCGACCACACAAACTTGCACCCGCCACCATCGCTCCCGCCCTTTCGACGGCGCCGGCGTTGTTTCCGCTTCCTTGCACCGTGGCCATTGCTTTTTTTGCTTCCCTTGCTGCTACTGCTTCCACTGCTTCCACTGCTTCCATGGCTACCAGCAAAATCGCCATGCACAGGGCCATCGCCACCATCATCATCGTCATCGACAGCGTCATCGTTGTCGTCGTCGTCGTCGTCGTGACTGGAACACACGTTTGCTGTGAACGGGGAGCTGGGCTCGATGCAGTAGTGCGAGGCCGCGCCACTCGCCGCGTAGAAGCGGTCAAACGTGTCCACGTATGCCTGCAGCGTCGCCGCGTCCGTTGGGATGATGCTCACGCGAATCGTGTCGAAGAAGCAGCCGTCGGGGTCAGCCACGTCCGCGGCGCGGAACAGGGCCTCTGCAGACACGCTCGGCTGCGTGCCGCCAGCGCCACACGCGATGGCGCACATGGTGACCGACCGGATGTCCTGGTCGCGTGCTTTGTTGAGGATGTTGACGTACATGTCCTCCAGCAGCTGCGACTGCGGGGCTTCGCCATGCGTGGGTGCAACGACGTGCAGCACGTGGGCGAGCCTGCTGCCGCGGCTCTGCGCCAGGGAAAACGAAGGGGTGCACCTGACATCGTCGGCGACGCGCAGCCGGCCAAAGGCGCGCACACTCTCCGCGCATGCGGCGTCATACGCTGTGCCGCACGCCTGGGAGATGGCCAGCGCCGCGCCACCATTGGGCAGCAGCCGTGAATTGGCCGAGTTGACAACGGCCTGCAGGTCGAGGTCTTGCGTCATGCTTCCCTTACGAATCTGCATGCGACGGCGCCCGCCCACACGACGTGCGCAACGGATGATGTTGTAGACGCGCGGGCGGCAGAGGCGCTCCAAGGCGCCCTCCAACGTGACGTTGACGGGGCGGCAGATGTCGCGCTGGAGCGTGTCCAGGTTGCAGTTGAGCACGTTTGCCTGATGATCGCACACGTGGGCGATGAGGGACGTGTTGTCGAGCAGCAGCCTATGAATGGTCTCCTCAACGAGTGCCTCGGCCGCAGCCTGCTCGCGCTTGGTGGTGTGGAGGATGAGCTGGTCGTCGCAGGTGACGCCGGTCGAGGCCAGGTCCAAGAAGGAGGTTGGGGTGTCCTCGTTGCTGCTGAGGACATCGCTGATGTCGTCGACCTTCTGGCGCACCAAGGCCTGTGCGGTCTCCACAGTGTGTCCGTTGACGCGCGTCACCACGCGCTCCAACAAGGACCGCGTTAGGGTCACTTTCACGGCGTCATCCATGCTGTTGGGGAGAGGGGCCTGCAAGGGTGGGGAGGGGGGTTCGTTTTGCACCAAACGAACAACAACGAATCAAACAATGAAAATGAGGTGTCACACAAACAAAGGTGTGTGTGTGTGTGTGTGTGTGTGTGTGTGTGTGTGTGTGTGTGTGTGTGTGTGTGTGTGTGTGTGTGTGTGTGTGTTGAAACGCGAGTGAAGTGGAGAGCGAGCGGAGCAGAGCGAGTGGCGTGCGGCTGCCGTGATGTGACTGTGCGCTTCAAGCACTCGCTGTCCTTCTCTGCGCTTCTTGTTGTTGTTTTGTGTGGGAAGAGAACTGACGAAAGATGCATGTCAAAATTCTAGCCATAGCTCAATCTGCGGTGTGGTTGCAACTTATCCTCAAGCAAGACAAGAAGAACAAGAACAAGGCCACACAGCAAGAACACACACGTGAGTGGAGAGTGTGGATGGCGGGCTGCGAATTGGTGTCTGTGTCTGTGTGTCTGTGTGTGTGTGTGTGTGTGTGTGTGTGTGTGTGTGTCTGTGTGTCTGTGTGTCTGTGTATTCAGTGTGTGCCTTTGTGTGGAGTCAGTGTTCATGGCTTCGAATGCTTTGTTCACTCAGCTCACCCGTTTCTTTGCATGTGTGATTGCACACAGACACAACACACAACACAGTTCATCATGGACGAGGTTCACGAGCTTCTCGAGACATTCGAGCAGTACGACAACGTCCATCTGCCACGTCTCGTGCAGACCCTCCACGCCACAGTAAGTGGCTCTACTTGCACTCTTGTGATTTCGACACGTGTGCGTGTGTGCGCGCGTGAGTGTCGTGGTAGTGGGGCTCGGCTGCGCAGTGTCGATCTCACACGCATCAACGCACACCGGCAACACAGATCGAAGGCCGTGACTTTGATTTGGACATTGCAAACGCCATCCTCAGACTGTGAGTCTGTGTGTGTGTGTGTGTGTGTGTGTGTGTGTGTGTGTGTGTGTGTGTGTGTGTGTGTGTGTGTGTGTGTATGGATCGGTTTGGGTGAACGAGCGAGTTTGTCGGGAGCGAGCGAGGGAAGGCGTATGTACGTGATGTGCATGAGCAGTTACATGCTTGCAACCTTGTGCCCGTGAGCATTGATTGGCTAGCATATCCCTCTGACCCCTGTTGGTCATATGCGTTGTTTCTCTATCCTGTGCTTTGCAGGTACCGGTTCTACCCGTCCGACTTTGATGCTGACACAGCCGCGTCCATCCTCATGGGCGCCCTCATGCAGCTGCCCGAGAACGACTTTACCTTGGTGTGTGTGTGTGTGTGCGTGTGTGCGTGTGTGTGTGTGTGTGTGTGTGTGTGTGTGCGCGCTTTGTCAGCATATCTCGCGGTGGTTTTGAGTGACAGCTGCGTTCACTGGCAACTGTGCCGCCTCTCATGTACTGTCATGTGCTAACTGTGCTGCCTCTCATCACATGTACTCAACTCAACCCTCAGTGCCTGAGCCTCCTGCACCCGAGCAGCCTGGAGCACGAGAAGGTCAAGCAGGTGCTTCACATGCACGAGCTCCTGGAGACGTGCGACTTTGTTGAATTCTGGGTACGTTGCTGGTGTGCGCTGTGGGTTATGGCATGCGCGTATCTCTACTTTGTCGTCCTTGTCCTTTCCATGCTTCTTCATTTCAATTCCATTCACACTCTCACACACTCACTCACACACTCTCTCTCACACACACACACACACACACACTCACTCACTCACACACACTCACTCACTCACTCACTCACTCACTCACTCACTCACATACAATCCCCCCCCCCCTCCTTCTACAACCGGCAGGCATACCTGCGTGAGCACGAGGACCTGCTTGACCTGAAGCTCAAGTCGCCTGTGGAGTACGACGACCTGACGGACGAGGAGTACGAGCGGATGCAGAACGGGGAGGAGGTTGAGCCACGCATCCTGCACGAGGAGATGGTCCTCACCTGCCACCTCAGCGACTTCAAGACAAGCATCCTCGAATGTGCGTGGCGCTCCCGTGTTGCTGCGTTTGTGGTGCCAATGGGGGAAAGTGTGTGTGTGTGTGTGTGAGTGAGAGTGAGAGAGAGTGTGTGTGTGTATGTGTGTGTGATAGTGCGTCATTGTGCGCGTGTGCGTGATAGTGTGTCATTGTGTTTGACACCACCAGGTGCTGTCGTACCTCCCACGATATTCTCACCATCCATTACATCTGTGCCGCTGCATGATTGTCTCCCCCCCCCCTCCTCCCCTGCGTGTAGACATTGCACACATTGTGACGGCGACGTACCAGACAATCCCCAAGTCCACAATTGAGAAGCTCACCGGCGACCTCGACGGTCCGTTGCTCCTGGGACCATTTTGGGGGGGGGAGGTTTGGGGGGAAGTTT